ACAATGGAGAAATACCCGGTCTAGCGTCGGAAAAGTTTTGGCGCTTGGAGCGAGCGTTTATATTTGATGATTATCGCTTGAAACTGCAGAGAGATGAAGTCTTCAGCATTTTAAACCTGAAAAAAGCCAATTTTGACTACTGAGCCTCGTTAAAAGTGTATAAATATTGTGGCCAGTAAATGAGGTCATAGAAAAAAAATTTGATTTACCCACCAATCATCCCTGACTTGCAGAGAGATAATTTCAAGTTTTCAACCCTTCTCTTCATCTTAAATTTGATGCAATTTTTCTTCTCAATAATAATTAGTGTTTTGAAAGGTACCATTCATAAAGAAGTCATGAGGAGACTTCAAAAGAGCAAATTATTTCGAGAGACTTAGTGTATATTGATAATAATATTGTAATGAACGATGTGAAGGATATTGCAATATTTCTTTTCATCAATTTTCCAAGCCCATCCCCCCCCCTCCAAAAAAAGTTTATTCTGAATTAAAAATGAAAAGAGTAAAAAATACTGAACAAAAACTTATAATAATACAATATGACGACCACAAGTCAGGAATAAAACTTGGTCCTTTACTTTCATGGGCAAACAGGCAGTCCACTGCACCACGGAGACAATGCCCGAAATAGGATTTCAGAAAGGTTTGAGCGTGCAGTGACTCTCCCCCACGACTCTGCACACAGCTCTACACACGGCTCTCATTCCGAGGAATGAATACAATTACTAGCGGGATTTCATCTAGATATTCTCAATTATCTCACTGAGGAGCAAACAGGAGTAGCTAAAAATTGGCACATAGGTTTTTAGAGGTATACTGAACATCTCATAAAAATTTCAGCACTGAGACGGGAGAATATCCAGAGGTAAGGCTTTCCAAAGTTAGAATTTGATGTGGTTTTGGTGGTATCATTTAAAAATTCCTGCACACTTAGAAATCAAGAGTACAAAAGAAATGCTTTAGCAATTACTTCTAGGAGGTCCAGGCATTGTAAAAAAAATACATGTGCTTGTGCACGTACGGTTATCCGTGAAGACACAGAACACACAAAACGTTAACACCTCAGGCTAGGGTGGTCCAAACTGGGCGACTTTGGAAAATGAATCGGGACGCTAAAGGACCCCGCACACCTCTTGGGAAAGTGCACCTTGAAGGATCCTTAATTTTTTTAAGGCATTCGATTCCCCTGAAGATGCTGATCAAAAGTTAGCATTGAGCCAACTTTCTACGGTGCACCGTTTTCGCAAAAAACGACCGAGAAGATTCAATTATTCGGCGGTAAAAGCCAAGAGGATTCCTCATTTCAGTACGCCAGTGAACGGTCGGCTGTGTGTCAACAAGGAAATCACGGGAACTCCCAGCACCGAGCGGCCGTCTTATCTCGAATTCCGCACGCCGTTTTGCTCGACCATCTGAATTAGATTCTTGAGGAGCATAAGAACAGGAAAGTCGGAGAAAAACAGTGAACGTCAACGAGACGGGAGCGGGAAGGGGATAGCCCTAGAGTCGGCAGGTACAGATAAGAAGACGGACACCGGACACGCGTTCGAATGATTTGTTCTTTTTGATTCATTGTCGCCGAATAATGGGCCTGTTGCAAACTTTTGCTAGAGCAAAACTAAGAGTTGTTTCTTGCAGATAATGCCTCAAAAATCACGATGAGCGCATCGGCAAAGTCTGAAATGCACTGATAATTTCACAATCTGCGTAAGAAATTTGCGGTTTTTTGAGCTTTCCGCTTCGAAAACGATACTACGGTACAGGTGAAAATTTTGTTAAAGGAGTCGTTCTATTGGCGGCAATACTCATCATGGCCGACGCCAGTCTGCCAAAACACGTGTGATGGGACGAGATAACACCTGAACAGGATTAAACCAGATAACAATCGGCGTGTTTACGTTCATATTTTCCTCGCCCGCCTGAATTGACCTTGAACTCTCCTCGAATTACGCGAGGAACTGCGCAAGCGTCGGCCATGATGAATATTGCCGACGATGGAGCGACTCCTCTAACAAAATGTTCACCTGTGCAGTAGTATCGTTTTTGAAGCGGGAAGCTCAAATAACGCAAATTTCTTACGCAGATTGTGAATTTATAAGTGCATTTCAGACTTTGCCGATGCGCTCATCGTGATTTTTGAGGCATCATCTATAGGAAACAACTCCTCATTCTGCTCTGGCAAAAGTTTGCAACAGGCCCATTGAATCTTCTCGGCCGTTTTTGCACAAACCGTGCATTGTAGAGAATTGGCGCAATGATAACTTTTGATCAGCATCTTCTTTAAGGAAAATTGAATGCCATAAAAAAATTAAGGATCCTACATAGAGCACTTTCCCATAGGAGGTGTGCGGGGTCCTTTGTTCCTTACCATCCAAATATGATACCTGCCAAATATTTTCGCTCTCCGACATTATCAAAACGTGCCAACTTGAGGCTGAAAAACTCCAAAAAAATTACATTGATTTAAATGGGGCGAAAACAGGCCGATCCGCCTTGTTTCGTTTTTCGGCTGTAAAATGCGCCAAAATAAATATTACTTGATATTTACTTACAAAAATACCGAGAGGCCTATTGTGAATGAGAAAATCACACTTCCGACCCATGGGGAGGGGGGGGCAGGGGGTCACAGCTGAGCCGATTCGTCGGCGCCGCGCCGCACGGTGGATCGAGTCAATGGTAGAGGTCGGTCATGGGCGACGGAAAAAAAAGTCGGATTTTAAATATTTGTTCTTGGTTTTCTAGTAGCTAAGCCTCCAAAATGAATGTATCCATGGTTCAAGGGTCTTTGAACCCTTCCGCTTTGACATGCAGGTTGCCTAAAGCTGACATTGCCGGGGGTATCAAATTTGCCGTCTGATTCTCAAGGTTTTGTTTCGCTTTTGCATGAGTTATGTGGCAGATGAATCAAAATTTCAATTATACATGCTTATTCTCTTCTCTCTGAGGAACATTTTGGTACATCATTAGTGTGCATTGGCATATTCTTAGGAGGACCAAAACCACCTACAAAACTTGCATTAAAAAAACGCTCAAAAAAATGTTAAGATAGTTCGATAAAAAAATGTTCACAAGTGTCCGCAAAATCCTTAGTTGGGTTGCTTCTTGTACACTATCAGGAATGATATTATGTAATAATTAGCCGCTAATATCCGCTAATCTACGGAAACGGTCCATTTGAATGATAGGAAGTCAGGCCTGCTGGGAATCCGATCTTGCTCTAATGTCATCAATAAAATCGTGCATCACACGATATCCTTCAATCTCGGTAATTTGTCTACTGATTACTGATTTTGGCTGATTTGTTGATGTTTTGACGAGACATTAACCTCCTGTTAGTCTATGAAGCTAATTCGATCAGAGTTATACTGAGCGATAAAGTTTGAGGTGTATGTTTTGCGCATTGTATATTTCACAAGTCCCGTTTCGTGCAAAATGTCTCCAACATACCTAGAACTCTTCCATGCATGAGCCCCATACAAATAAAAAATCGGTTGCAGATTGAGAAAGAAGAAATACAAGAAATTTCTTCAAGAGGCACTGGTCCTTCTCAGAAATTCTTTAAAGGGTCAGAACCTGCATGAAAAATAAAGTCCTTCCTATTTTAATATTTTTTGAATAAAATGTTTCAAACTTCACTCCAAACTTCAAAGAATCACACGAAACAATGGAAGATGATATACATGGTTTTGGTTCTTTGTTTTTTTTCTTTCACTGCATATTCCATTTTTTATATCTTGTGGTAAGTATACCTATAAAAATCTTCTAGGATGATTCGATAAAAATAAGAAGCTATAGTACATAGATCTCTCTTTTTTTACTTTTTCAAAATATTTTTCTATCATTTGAAATATGCATATTTGTTGAATAACTGAAAGAGTAGGGGGTTCATAAAAATGAAAACGTCGATTAACTGGCTAGAGGAAGAGAGGAAAAATGAACGTTATCAGAATGTTCCTTATGTGTCAGTATGCAATTGCGAGAAACCAATGAACATGAACAAAGAACGATGTTGGAAGAAATTGAGAGAGTTATGGCAACCTTTGTGGTGAGGGGACTGTGAAACCGCGCTTCCTTAATC